AAGGAATATAAGTATGAAAACAGAGGGAAATTGAGTTATAACTCAAGGAAATCACTGAAATAACACAAGGATGCCTAGCCTCCTTCTTCTCTTCTTGATCTACTCTTCTGTTCTCTTAAAATCTTCAAGAAACACACCAAAGCACTTCAATCTCTCAAGAAATAAGGGTTTGGACGGTGTTGGGAGCTCTGAGGGTGAATGGGGCTAGGTTGGGGCGCATAAGGTTGGTTTAAATAGGGTGCAAACCCTTGAAATTTAGGATTTCATCAGACAGCGGGGACTCGCTGAGTCCAGGATATGGACTCGCCGAGTCGCCAACATAAACGTGTTCCATATCTCTACTCAACGAGTCGGGCCTACAACTCGCCGAGTCCAAGGCTAAAATTGCAAAATACTTAGATAAATTTTGCGTACCAGGAACCAGGTGCTACAGGTGAGCTTGGGATTACACTTTGATGCTCAAGTTAGTATATGAATAGATGGGTAAAAAGAATATGATAACAAAGAGTGTAAGTTGCCACTTAAGACCTTGTTTGTGACTAGTGTTTATATTGTTGGCACAAAAAATAAGGGTTGTCTTCTAGATTGGTCTAAATTACTAGGTACAAGGTATACTTGTGACATAATGTATGTTGTGACATTCCTACTTGGTGGGTTGAGCATAATCGAATGTCAGTTGGTGTGAATGAGAATGATGGTCACAAAAAGGTTTGTTAAAGCTGACCATTAGACCCGTACGTTGTGGTTTTCGGAATTACTGGTTCATAAAAGGCAAGATAGGAAAGTCGCGCTAGTGATGAGTTTAGGTAACTATTTAGATTAGGCGAGGTCCACTACTATGGTCAACTTGTAAAACCCTATGACCTAGTATAATGTATACATTTTTTTGTCTTTTTTTTGGAAATATTTGTTACATACATGAGTATCTTGGGGAAATTCCAATCTTGTTATCGTGGTATCACCTAATAAGGAACCAGTTAGTCATATCTTGGGGCAAGAACCGACGATACACTTTGATGAATAAGTCGGTAACATGGGGGATACGATATTGAGAATTAGGAAGACAATTTTTTTGAGTAATATGTTTCGACCTTTTGAGAGTGTTGTATTTATAGGCGATGGTATACAATGACATGTCAATAATGTCAATCTTAGATGGTCATGTTGGTTGGAAGTAGTGCTCAAAATGACTTCAGCTAAATATATCTGGTGGATCTAGATGTCATCCACCATTCCTCGAGTGAGCATGGGTTCGTCCCATCTAGAATTAGGGGATGAGATCATCATCCGTAAATGTGGTGTTACATGTTGTGGCAGGTCAGGTGACTGACTGGAACGAGGAGAAATCTGATGTCTTCAACTACGGTTCCGACGAGATGAAGGTTACGATTCCAATACAATTTGAAGAAATCAAAAAATTGGAATGGTTTTTGTAGTTAATATAGAGGTTAAAAACTTCTTTTATACGCAAATTAAAGTTTACACGAACAGAGTAACAAATGTCAATACAAGTCTATCCTATAAAATCTAACACTAACTATCACGATGGAATTTAAAGCACCAAGAAACAACCGAACAATTTTATTAACTTGCATATGAATCAAACATCAACAAAAAAAATTATATGTCAAATAAAACATAACAATTCTCTTGCACATATGATTTTCACCAAACAAACATTTTCCACTTAATTTCAAAATAATCATTAAACATGTAAAAATCATCCATCCAAGAGTCCACGACCCACTCACCAATAATCTCCACAAGAACACACACCATCTTTGAAATGATGGTACCGATTTAAATCTCTACACACAATCTCCCTCTCAGTAATCTTGGATATAAACTTAATTGCAACATGACAATCCTCACAAACCCGAAGATTTTTTGTGATCAAAAGTCTACTCCGAGGTGGAGTACTAATCAACCCAAACGCAATCGCTAGCCTCTCACTATGCCTACACACCATCCTTATCTTCTCATCATCATCCACATCATGAAACACGGGTGCAGTATTAGGAACATATCCGGCTTCACTCATCAACTTTTCAACCCTTTTTAGTTCCGCATCTATCTCATCGGACATAGGATGACTCGTATCACCTGAAAGAAACGTGTTGACTTTATTGTTGACTTCAATCCAACTACACGCGACATCTTTTTTAAGTTCCCGCTTTGACATTAGCTCCCGAAGCTTTTCCACCCCCGAATACCGCCCGGCTTGCGCGTAAATATTCGACATGATCACGTAGTTTCCAGGTTCATCTGGTTCGAGCTCGGTCAACTTCTCTAATGCAAGTTCACCAAGCTCGACATTTCCATGGATTTTACAAGAATTTAGCAGTGCACCCCAGACACCGGCGTCTGGGATGATTGTCATATTCTTGATCATGTTATACGCTTCGTCTAATCGACCATAATGGCCGATTAGATCGATGATAGACGAATAGTGTTGAACGGTTGGTTGTATTTTGTAATTGTGGATCATTGATTCGAAATATTCTCGCCCCTTTTCTAGCAAACCTCCATGGTTACAAGCGGAGAGAACACCGACAAAAGTTATGTGATCGGGATTGGCTTCACATGTCATTTTTTCGAACAAATTTAGCGCTTCGGTTGCGTGTCCATGCATTGCGTACCCTGTAATCATGGCGTTCCAAGAAGCAATACGTTTTTCTGACAAGTGATTGAAGAGAATTCTGGCTACCTTCACGTATCCACTTTTGGCATACATATCAACAAGTGCGGTTTTTACTTTATCTTGAAAGTAAAAACCTTGTCTCCAGCTATACCCATGAAGCTCTCTTCCTTGTGGGAGGGATGCCATGTCAGCAGCAGCGGAGATGGTGGTGACAAGAGTTGCGACAGTTGGTCTCACCATGTTTGAGGCCATTTCACTGCACAAAACCAAGCAGTCTTCAGGGTGGCTGTTTTGAGCGTATGCAGCAAGCATTGAGTTCCATATGACAACATCTCTTTGGAGTATTTTATCAAACACCTGGCGTGCATTACTGACGTTTCCACATTTTGCATACATATCAATTAAAGCTGCACCCACAAAAACATCCGTTTCCCATCCCGTTCTCACCACATGGTCATGAACATCCCGCCCCGTATCGATCGCACTAAGATTCGAACATGCTTTGAGAACAAACGGGAATGTAAAATTATCAGGAATAACGCCCTTATTGATCATTTCATAATACAGCGAAATCGCAGCATTGTAAGGACCGTTCCAAGCATACGCACGAATCAAAACGTTCCAAAGAAAGACATTTCGTTTAGAAATTCTATCGAATAGTAGGTGGGCATTAGACAAATGGTTGCAGGAACAGTATAAATCAACGAGTTTAGTACCTAAAATTGTGTCGTTTCCAAGACCAATTAAGCAAAGATGTGCATGAACCTGTCTACCTGGCTGAATCGCCCTTCGAGCAATGAATGTTTTTAGGATATGTTGGTAATCCAATGGAGAACGATTGGTCAAGTGGTTTGGAGGAAGATGGCGATGATGGGTTGTCGATGTTGTTTGTGAGTGATATGATGATCGACATTGTTGTCGTGAACCCGATGAAGAATCAGAATCAACAATGGTGGTGAGAGAGCAAAACAGGAGTTTGCCATGTGAAAGAGTCCATCTCTTGAGTTTTGCTGTCGCTTGAATTCGAATCAGCATTTGGCTTCTGTTTCAACAATGCATGCAATAGCGACTAGCGAGCACATTTACATCAGATTTAGTTTAGGTAACTGTATATTTTATCATGTACAATACATTAATGCAACACCTTTTTATTTTTTTACTCGTTTTCTAGGGAAATTAAGTGATCCAACTTTTTAATGTGTATTAAAAATAAAAATAAATAAATAAACAAAAAACCGATTCATTTGTTTTTTATTTTTTATTTTTTGCAAAATTATTCAAGACAAAGAAAAAACATTTTTTGACTAATTATGGAATTGCATTTCAGATTCCGGATTTTGAAAAAAATGTAAAACAAGATTGAAATCCAAAGAAAAAAATCTGGAATTTCGAGAAAAAAAATATTTTTTTTACTTAAATTTAATAAAAAGTTAAAAAAAAGATACTAACCTGAACTATACATAGTTGTTAACTCGTGATTCGACTCGTGACTCGAAAATAAAAATTTCTACTCGTGACTTGACTCGTAAGAGTCATGATATATATATATATATATATATATATATATATATATATATATATATATCACATTTTCACCTTATTATATAAAAACTCAATATTTATTTATACTACTTAAATGTTTGTATTATGTAAGCAATTCCAAGAAACTCCACTGTCTTGCATCCACTTTAATTACCAATTATGCCTTTTGGTGTTTCCATAAACCTATTGGTTTTCCCAAAAAGATTTTCAACCAACATTTACTCTATTTTATTCGAATGCCGCCTCAACTCTCAATCATTGAAAATCTTCTCATTTGCTTTTCTTTACTCCTATCTCTATTCTCACCCCTAGAAGAAATCAAGCCCTCCTAACTTTGGAAGGCCACGCGGAAGAAAAAAAACATAGCACGTTGAAGAACAACCCAGCATTAGTGCTTCTAAAATAGCAATGGATTACATGCTCGATTATGCAATTACCAATTGGTCATATGACTCGTCCGAGTCACGAATTGACTTGACTCGGTACGAATCAAACCACAACTCATTAATTTTGACCGAGTCGCACAAGAAACGAGTCAGCATACGAGTCGCCTCGTTTTGGGTGTTAAATGACTCGACTCGTACGAGTTTAACAACTATGGAACTATATATGATATTTGTATATGAAATTAGACATTTTATTAAAAAACGGTAACATTAAACATTTCGAAATGTAAAATTTGAAATCCCAAAATAAAATTAAAAAACATTCTTTGAAAAAAAAACTCTGGAATATGAACAGTACTCGGGAAAGCTCAACTTGGATTTTTTTTTTTTTTTTTTTTTTTTACATAAAACATCTAAAAATCCTACTATTCGCCCATTAATGTGAGCATTGAAATTTTGTCAAAAAAAGTGTTCAATATCTCTTTCTGTAGATTTTGATAACTTTATTTACACAAAACATCAAATACAACATCTCTATCATATCTTCTTGCTCACATGATAGTTGTATGCGGATTTAACAAATTTAACAGACTTATTAACAAGATGGCATGATATTTAGATTTTACAATCACATTGATATATATAAGCTCATTTGTAAAAGCTATATATGTAATTTATGAAAACCAATAAAAAACAACTCGAAGTTTATTCACACAACAAGAAAAGTATTCATTGCTGTTACATAAACATATCGTGGCCTAGAGTTGAACTTGTTACATTTACATCTTTGAGTTCGTCATAAATCATTGACTAATAACATCAGATAACGACTTGTTGATGATCTGAATCAACTCTTCCCTGTAAAGCAATGAGACAAAATTATTAAAGCATCTTTTACTTTTACTCTCAACTAACAAAACATGTTTAAATGTAAAGTTCTCATGGCATCTAGTGCATTAGTGTTTTGGTATGATCGAACCCAATCCTCAAAACTTTTTTAAAAAAAAATCACATTTTATTTTTCCTAAACTTATGAAAAAAAATATATTTTACCTGTCGGGTTTGAATAACAGATAACGATAGACAAACCACTGAAAAAGTGAAAATGAAGAAAATGTTAATATATGAAAAAAGATTGCAAATTAGGAAAGTTGACATTACATGTGGAATAAGAGTACTTACTGTTGAGAACGAAATGCCAATAAGCTCAAATACGCCTGGGAGGACTGGAAGTTTGTCTATAGCCTACTCACATCACATGACAAGTAGAGAGTCACAATATTTGTTAATAGGAGATAACATATATAGCTGTCCAGATTAAGTGCTTAACCCATTAAGCTCATTAAGTAAAAAAGAAACAGCTCCTTAGTTAAAGATACAGAGAGAGTAAGCATATACCGTGACTACGTTAAGCGAGACCCACAAAGCAACAACAGATGCAAATCCCAATCCAATAAGAGCAATTCGATCTTCTGGTGTATCCCACTGTTCAAATGTAACACATACGCAAGCATTTAAGACTAAAATAAGAAGAAAAAAGTTTGCAGTTGGAAAAAGCAGCAGATACTTACAAAATTTTGGACAGACTCAATGATGCTTAAAGAGGTAGAAGACTCTGTGCTCCCACTTGTAGCCATTGCAATAACAGCAACACGCCTTTGTTGTCCTGTAGTCAAATAATGGTATAAAACAAGCATGAAGAATGAGATCTAAAAGATATAAAAGCACGCCACATCATCATCATAAAGTTTGGTGGTTTTTCTTTTGGAAGTTGCAACATATGGTTGCCTGATCCATTTGGTTTATATTGTGCCTAGAACTTATGTTTCTTTCCATCATTTCTTCTTAAATGTGCCTCCACTTTCCTTTTGAGGGTCAAATGAACTATTTTATAAATTCAAATTCCACGAGATTGTTTCTATTAGAGTTGAATCGATACAATGGAAACAGTTTGGAGATTAAAAACACTAATGAACATATGCCAGTTTTGACAATGAATAAGGCTAGATTTGAATTTTTTAAGAGTCAGAAGTTGACTTTTGGGGAAGGAGGGAGTAAAGGGATGTTTGGATTTGTGGCTTCATTGGAATCAAAATAGTCAGTTTTGAGTGTTTGGTAAAAGGCCAATATGAATATGATTTTCTAAGCAAGTAAGTAGATAAACATAAAGCTAACTGATTATCGTATTATTGGATTTTGATTCTTCAATAATCCAAATACACTAACTCCTTGATACATAACGACTCTAACATGAAATATACAATAATATGCACGCTTGGAATTAAGTATAGAATCAAGCATTGCTACCATCGATATTCGAAGGCAAATTAATCAAGAAGAGAACTTAAATCAATTCATCCACCGAAAAATTATAACAATAGTAAAAAACCCATGAACATGTAAATCAACTCAGGTCAGAGCTCATCATAGAGAAGGGAATACAAAAAATGATTGAACTTCAGGAACTGAGATTAATAAATTGATTTACTTCGAAATTTAAACTTCAATAACAACCCTCACAATGCAACTGCCCCAGATTGAGCAATCGATTAATAACTCATAATTGGATTGGGAAAACAAAAGAAAGGGGGGAAATGTACCTCCAATGGCAGAAACAGTGTGCTTATGCAGAGGTGAGAATAAGGATTGTTTGCTAATGTTGAGTAGAGAAGGAAGAGGCAGATTGGAGATCAAACAAGCCATGTGTGCCTGAAACTATGAATATGAAAAGTAAACTAAGATTATTCACCTACAGAATCAAGCAAACTTTATCAGAAAAAAATGAAGAAAATTGGTAATAGAATTACAAGGGTATCAAGATATTAAGCTCTTTGGTTCCTTTGTTGATAGCCTGCAACTGTACTTACCTCGAAATAGAAGACAGCGAAAGCGTGTGTATATGGGTGGGAAGAGAGAGCTCCCCTTCATCACCACAAATTATCTGTAGGTCCCAGAGATAGGTGCAGTTACTCTTAGAATATTTATAATATACTTGAAGGATGTTAGCAAATCGGGGATGTAGCTCAAATGGTAGAGCGCTCGCTTTGCATGCGAGAGGCACGGGGTTCGATCCCCCGCATCTCCATTTTTAATTTATGTTTATAACACTTTTTCATATAAATGTGTTCTATACGAATGTATACATTATATTTTTTTCATGTAAATCCTTGCTATAAGAATGTATACATGTTTAGTTGTGTTAAATTGCATTAAGGTTTTATATATTAAAAGTATACATTTTAGATGATGTTCGACAAATTTTAATATTTTTAGCTGAATTTATTGTTTCTTTTTAATTTCTTAAAAATAATTTGTAATCTGAATCAATTTATTTAGTAAGTAAACTATAAAAAAAATTAACAATCACTAGATGAATTGTCCATTACCATATAAAATCATGGTGATGAAAGGTTTAATTCCATTACTATTACTTGTAAAATTATAAATTAGGAAAAGAACAAAGCCTACCCCAAAAGATCGAATTTCGGCGTTAACACAAAATCTAAAGTTGTCACTTGTCAGACTGGATAATAGATAATCGCATACGAGATAGGCTTATCCAAGTCTAATCCACATGTCAACTCCGGATTGGCTAACTAAAGAACATATCTTTCTCCTTTCAAAAACATATGCCAAATGGCAACCCATTATTCATGCAAGATGATCAAAAGCCCCACACATCCCCTGTTTCTTCATCTCATTGACTATAACCTGATTAATCAATTCGTTTGACAACAACAACAACGACAATTTAGTAGAAACACTGTTTTGAGCTCTAAATTTTGTCCAACAATGGCATCTCTTACAACCTGCGCACCCGCCGCAGCCACCGTCAAAGGCCTCGGAGGCAGTTCACTCACTGGGACTAAGCTTACCCTCAAGCCTTCTCGCGCGAGTTTCAGACCCACTTCAAACAGGTGCTGTTACTCTTTAATAAATACTTATTCTTGTGGTTTAAATCACTATTTTACTCCACAATTTGTAATGAAATGTCTGGTTGAAATCGGCGATTTCCTAATTGTTCTTGTTATTGTGGGAAAATCTTGAATATATGCAGAGCTGGTGCTGTGGTAGCTAAATACGGCGACAAAAGTGTGTACTTTGATTTGGAAGATTTGGGCAACACCACTGGTCAATGGGACGTGTATGGCTCTGATGCCCCCTCACCTTACAATTCCCTCCAGGTATTCGATATAATGCCTCAGTGAACTTGTTATCTCCATTCCTGTGTTTTGAAATTGTATGGGTAAAGGGGTGAATTGATGGTGTAAGTTCTAAATTAATAAGATTGTTTCTTTTTTTGACGAGACTATTTTACTCTTTTGGTCGCAGAGCAAGTTCTTTGAGACATTCGCTGCGCCTTTTACCAAGAGAGGAGTGTTGCTTAAATTCTTGTTATTGGGAGGTGGTTCAACTCTTGCTTACTTCAGCTCCACTGCAACCGGAGACGTCCTACCGATTGTTAAGGGCCCACAACAAAAACCGAAGCTCGGCCCACGTGGCAAGATCTAATTGGATCAACAATCTCAAGTCTTGTTAGTATGAGTTAAATGTATCTTTGCTATATAGCTTGTAAGTATGTCTGATTTCTGCTTATAAGATCTCATCAATTTTCCATGTTATGGTCGTTTGAGAAATGACTAGTTATGGTTTGTGTAACTATTTTTGGTTCAAAAGTTGTGATTGTTTGAATTTTTTTGCGTTTTCCATGTTGCAACTAATCCATAAATAGACTTGGTCAAGATTATATAATAATGCCAAATGTAATAAATAGCAATGTACTTTCATTAATCTGTGTATTATAACACTCTACTTTCGTTTCTTTTTATTACAACATTGTACCTTTTGCATTTTTTTTCTTATAAAACATTGTTCAACCTAATTGTAATATTGTAATTTCATTTTTTTTTCTTATTACGACGTTATACTTAAAAAAAATCCACCTAATTATAATAAGGAAGATTGTCTTGTATTTAGATGACATTGTTGTAATTGGATAAATTTCTCAAAGTAAATGCTATAATAGAAGAAATGAAAGCATTTTACTCTAAGAGAGGAGGGAGTCGTTCTCACTAAACCCACTGAACCCACTGCCACATAACTTTTCTTTTTGATTTTTCTTTATCTTTCCGAACCCACAACACACGGAAATTCTATCTTTCTCAACCCACTCAACCCACTTAATTAAAAAAATATACAAAATAATCAAGGTAAAATCTTAATTAGCAATAGAGTTACCACCGGTACCACTCCCTCTTTGGCGGGTTGTTTAATTGGTTTCACGAACCCACTTCATCCTCTCTCTCTACTTTCTCTCTCTCATTTTCTCTTGTACCATATGTTTTAGTTGTTTAGTATTTTTTTTAATTGAGTGGGTTGAGTGGGTTGAGAAAAATAGGATTTCCGTGTGTTGTGGGTTCGGAAAGATGAAGAAAAATCAAAGAGAAAAGCTGATGTTGCAGTGGGTTCGGTGGGTTCAATGGGAACGACTCCCTCCTCCCTAATAAACAAATTAATGAAAAAGAGTGTCATATTATTTGCATTTGACAATTTCTAATAACCTTGTATGTAGTTAGGGTCCTTTATAAGCCTGTGTTTGTTACACGAGACAAGACCAATGTTGCAAAACTCGTTAGGCGTTCACAAGGTGGCCGATTAGCGCCTAGCGAGTATTCAGTCTAGACGTGGAGTATTCGGATTGGATAAATTATATGAAATTAATTTAAAGAAAATTATATATATAACAAATATAACAAGTTTATTAAAATTTATAAAAAATAAAAAAAATTAAAAAAAAAAAAGATGAATATTAATAACACTTCTAGATTTTTTTCTATAAAAAATTCGAAATTTCCAATTTTGATTGATTTTGAATTTTTTCTAATTTGACTGATTTTTAACTGAGTTTAACCGATTCTAAGTTTTTTTTTGGTCAATTTCTAATTAGACGCCTTGGCCCCTACCCGATTCCGATTAATTGGCCACCTAGGCCGACTTTTGCAACACTGGAGAAGACTAAACGTGACTGTGAGATTAAACTGGATTGGACAAGTTTTTCATGGATATTACGTCTCTTGCATATATGAGAGATCCAAATTAAGTCTTTATCACACTTTTGGTGGGACAAAAAATTGCAAGTTTAATCTCATTGACATTAGAGGGTCTCTGTCAAAATGCATGACAAACACAATACGAGTTTGTCTCTTATGTCATGTGTCGAGTCTTAAGTATCGGTCCAAATGCATGTACAAATCGGTCTCTTCTTTGATGTGTCATGTCCTACGTAACAAATGAGACCTAAAGGTTCTTTACACGAAACAAACTCAAAACTACATTATTTGTGTCCGTATACTACTCACCTCAAAGGGCTGATGGTTTTTAAAAAAAAAAAAAAATTAATAGCATGTTGTGGAAATACGTCGGGGTCTATCCACTTTTAATGATTTGTAGAGGAAAGTTGAAAGGATTCTATACCATAACCATAGTCCATATATTTTGACTAAGTTGAAAAAGTTAATATAGCATGTTGTACAAGATTCAGCACTTAATTAAAAGTGCTTTTCATAACTTACATCGTATGTACTTCCTATATTTACACATGAAAATTTTACAGACTCTATGTAGGTAGGTAGGTCTGATAAATATTTACACATGAAACTTCATTTCTATAAAAACTTTTTTTTTTTTTTTAAACTTTTACTCCTCTAATTTTCAATTCCCGTTAGTCAGTTAATTACTGGCGTGCTGATGGACTTCTTCCGCCTAAAGTATCAAGTTTCTCTAGATACGAAAGCTTCTTGCTATTTGTAGCAGAAGGTTGTTTTGCCAATTGCTCTGTTGTTGTTGTTTCTGTGCCATTTGACAATTCTTGTTTTGATTCTTTTTCATTGTCTAAAGTCCATCCCATGAAATCTGATAATGTCATTGAGGTTGGAGCATCTGAGAGATTGAGTTTTTCTAACTCTTCTTTTGCACTTGGGAATTTTCCGGAAGCCATTGATGCTGAATCTTTTAGAGGGTTTCTTTTTGGATCCCCTGATGGATTTTGTGCAAGATTATCTGCATGCATTACATCTTCAATTCGTGACATTACTTTGTGCGCTAAGCTTTCCAGTATTCTTGAATAGCTCTCCAAAACCGCATGTCCCACATCCTGTTATAACATCAATCAGGCTTTTATCAATTTATAGATAATTATGCATTTGAATATGATTACAAAGGGGTATGAAAGTGTCTTACTCGATTGTTTTCGATTTTGCTTACATCTAGTGCAGATTGAGGAATACCAGGGTAACGATGTTTGAGTATAAGTAATATTGTTTCTGCTCTATCTTCAAACTGTTCTCTTTTCTCAATACTCACACCTGAACCCCATCCAGATTTTCCATCTTTATTTGTCATCTTTCTCCTCCATATCACAACAGAAGCCTCAATTCTGTTCTTCAGATCAAGAATTTTATGCTCTGAAGATAAATCCATGGCTGAAAGAAAATGGTCCGGATCAAAGTGATCAACCGTTATATTTTTATAAATCGTGTCTCCCAAACTTGCCCTTCCATTCTGCCACAAAATGCATGATGTAATGTAATTCCTTCAATTTTGATTGTATTTGTTAGTGTAAAACTGTAAATATATTCTACTCTAAAACTTACCTTGGGGAGACCATCGATGTAACTTTCTGGGATTTCCATTTCGGTAAGCGTGTGAGAGTTCATAGCCATGGCTGCTTTGAGTACTTGGTTCACTGAGTCTTTCTGAAACTGTAACCATTTTCTTGTGACATCAGATAAACCATTTGGGGGAACCTTTGGAGTAGGCAACCACCATTTCTCTTCTTCCCTTTTCTTCTGTGATTTTGCTCCAGCATCGTCTTTTGATGCATAAGTAAATTCATTCTGATCTTTAAAATTATCTAAACATTCCTGTATCAATAGAAATAAACATTAAAAGCATATTAGACTTCCCTATATGCATACAGCACTTACCACGTATAATAGGGTTAAGCTTATTCACAAATATATGACAAAGATCCTAACAAGTGCTGAAAATAAATGTATACTTTTTCCTTTGTTTTATCGTTTTTTTTTTTTTTTCAATTACTTCCTTTCTATGATGGAGGAGTTTAATAAGAGAGCCCATTTCTTACCATGAGCATGGCATCAAGCTTCTTTAGGGCAGGAATATTGGTGTGCACGTCACTTCGTTGCCTTGTAACCATTATCTGTGCAAATTATATGACTGTTTAACAGCTTTTGAGAATTGGCAGACAACATACAAAAGAGATTGGTACCTCCATCATTATGCCATTAGTATTTTGCTTCGAAGGCACAAATTCAACTATGTGATCGGTGACGGATAACATCCAATCGATTTCTTTCCGCCACCTTGCTTTACTATCAGGGGGCATTGGTTCTAAACGCGATATTTCACCAAATACAGAAGCTATAAAACAAAAAATTGAGAAACTCTTATGTATTTGAATACGATCGTTTCGAATAATTCCTCCATGAAAACACGAAAAGATGAAATGAAATTATTAAAACGAGGAAAAAAAACCCTTACCTGCTAGATTCGTGATGGCATTCGACAATGCCAAAGCCGAGGAAACACCTTTTCCTCCACCTGACATATCCTCGCCTAATAGCAACTTTGCGAACCTCTCCTTCATCAATTCCATGTCTGAAAAAGTTAACGACGCCAAAATCAAACACAAAAAAACATAAAATTAGAGTTTAAAATTCGAAATAAACTCGAAACATGTAATCACCGGCATATATCATCTCAAGTTCCGGAATTGAATCCGGATTCACGTCTGCTCTATCATCTTCCATTCCTTCCTGAAGTGCTCGAACTATTGCCAAATTCGAGCAGGAAATCAAGATGAATCGAACAAAAACAGATAAAGTAACAAAATAATGCTAAATCGGAATGGAGATTGATATTCTTGTTTTGTTTCCTATTACAGATGAAAATGGAGGGAGAGAAAGCCAATGCGCTTGGAAAGATGGAAAAATGGTTGTTAGTAGAGGGATGAAGGGAACGTGGGGTGCATGTTAGAAAGAGAATTGAAAGATGAAGTCAAAATTTTATGGAAACTAAATTCTAAGAAGGAAAATATTCTCATTAACCTCGATAAAAAGTTTCACATTTCAACGGAGATAAATTTAGCATGTTTATTTTTCTTTAACCATCCCTATGAGAATATTTTCCATCTTGGGGTAAATTAAAGTTTCGCTACTATTTATTTTTTCTCTCTAACCATTCTATGATAATTATTTGTTACGCTTTTTATCAATAAAAAAATTTATAAATAACTATATTACATTTTCTGGATTTTTTTTTAATAATTATAACCACCCCACCTAATCCACACCATTGAGATGAACATCACAAGTTTGATAATCTTCTCACACCATTCATGTGTTGTTGATGATTTTAATGTCATCAACATATTTTAATATAATTACTATTAATATTGAAATAGACTGAGTTATATTTATTCATCGAGATTGGAGATGCGAGGTGCATATTCGGAGTGATAAATATAAACTTGAGAATATAGGGGTCCTGAGGCAGTGCCCCTGGGTACGGGGTTCCAAGGGACAACACAGGGTCCAAAGGGCAGAGTCCCTGGATGTGGTTCCAAACATGCAATTTTCCAAACCTAAACGAATTTATATATCATGAAAGACTTCAAACATGTATTTTCCCGCCAAAACAAGTGGTGACATCACTATGATGTAAGAATCGGTTATGTCTTTCTAACCACCATTTTTGGAGCCAAAATGTATGTAACCACCATTTAACCTCTTTTCACTCTTGTTTAAGAACATATAAAATGTTCCAAATATTTTGGATGATCTATAC